GTGCAGTTTTCATTTTCTTAAAACTTCTTTATAATAAGCCTTCATGACTGTCCTGTGTTCTTCAAGAAAATGTATCAAGATTACCCTTTTAGAATAAAAAATAGTTGTGAAGAAAAATGATGTAAGGGTGGCATCTGTCCTGCTCCAGTTATACAAGAGGGAAAGAAAATCTCACTCTATCAAGATCTCCCAAGGCAGATCTCTATGAAACTGGGGTCAGACATGTGTCTACCCTTCATCCCCTTGACCCTACTCTGAAACTAACAGTCCCTCCCACTGCATTCTGCTTCTGTGGCTCTGTTCAATAATTCATTGCATTGACCATACAGAACTCACAAGAGATCCTCACAATTATGCAGTTTATTGTGGAACTAAACAGGTTACAGTTCAGGTAAGACATGCTCAGGATACAGTTGTTCAGTCAGGACATGTTACAAAGCTCTTCTGGGCCTGCTGATCAATGCCCAAAGGACATGGCATTGTACCATAAGCCTCCGTTGATGGCACCCAGTTCCAGCTCTGTGGTCAGCAAACCTAGCTCCCCCAATTAAGTATCCAGAGGAACTCCACTCCACAAGTCAACTTCTTGCCTAAAGGCATTCAGCTTACTGGGTGGAATAAGTCCACCTTTCTTTCTATCCTTTTTCTTTCTTTTTTTAAAAGTCATTTTATTGGGGGCTCTTACAGCTCTTATCACAATCCATACATACATCCATTGTGTCCAGCACATTTGTATGTTCATTGCCATCATTTTCTTTATTTTATTGTCTTATTTATATATATATTTTAATCATTTTATTGGGGGCGCATTCAGCTCTTATCACAATCCATACATACATCCCTTGTGTCAAGCACATTTGAACATATGTTGCCATCATCATTTTCAAAACATTTCCTTCTACTTGAGCCCTTGGTATCAGCTCATTTTCCCCTCCCTTCACCACACTCCCTCCCTCCCTCAACAACCCTTAATAATTTATAAATTATTTTGTTCATGTCTTACACTGAACAATGTCTCCCTTCACTCACGTTTCTGTTGTCTGTCCCCCTGGGAAGGGGTTATATGTAGATCATTGTGATCGGTCTTTCTTTTCTCTTTCTTTCCCACCTTTCTGATTCATGCTCTGGCCCCTTGCTCTGAGGCTGCTCCTCTGCCACTCCTTCTCCTCAGATGTCAAAGCTGATCCTTAGATCAAGGAGGTTCCATGCAGAGGGATGTCAGAGTCTAAAGAACACGTGCCCCTTCTGCCTCCTCTCTCTTGTTGGTAGTGAAATCCTCCTGCCTGTTTCTGAGACGACTGGTTTGCATCCAGCAGAATGACAACCATTCA